GGCTTCCTGCTCAGCAGGAAGCCTGCTTCTCCCTCTCCCACTCCCCCTGCTTGTGTTCCCTCTCTCGCTGTGTCTCTGTCAAATAAATAAATAAAATCTTGAAAATAAATAAATAAATAAATAAATAAACCATTGTACATTTAGAAAAAAGTTCCAAGGTTAATTTAAAAAATACAAACACAATAACCCTATAATACTTCCATAGTAACACCAGTCTGTGCTTACTGGAACATACTGAAGTTCTCTTGCTTGCATGACTCAGTCTTAACTACAATCAATTCACTCTTCATGATTTATCATTAAATTCTCTGTCTTATAATACAGTCTATATAATAGAAACTTTAGAATAGATTTATAAAATATAGGAGTTTCTACTCTAATACATTCTTGAAAAACCTCTTTCTACAAAATTGCACAGTAAAAATAGCAGGTATATAAGAAAAATAGCGCTAGAGGGAGACAAATCAAAGACAGGACACTAACAAAAACAATAACAATTCTAATAAAATACTAGCACAGTTTAAAAAATACCTGGCAAATTCCTAACAAGGGAATACTGGAGTAAACATAGGACTTTATCTTCACCCCCACCAAAAAAAAGTGAAACAATTTAGAAAGGGTTGAGGATGTTGAGTTATAGAGACAAGAGGCCAATGTAGAAAGAACAGGCAGAAACACATGATAAGGAGTTCTATGACAGAGCATGAGGCCAAACTAGCAAAAAGAAGACTGTGGGATAAAGGGTCAACATATACACTACAATTTTCCTCTACCATTCAGCTGTATCAATGTAGTTTGACTTTAGTCGCTATATCACTTAGTGGCAAAAAATATGGCACAAAATGACAATCACTTATGAGCTAATTTGTGTTGCAGAGGCAAAGCTGTAATAGAACAGATTATACCAAAACTTTAAATTAGCATATTTTTTCTAGATTTTTATTGAAAGAATAAAAATTTAAAATATCTCAGCAAGCCAATTCACTGGCCAGGAGAAGGAGAAGAACTCTCAGATTGGGAAGAAAATACGGTTAAATTAATGGGTCCGGCACACAGTGAATGCTCAGTAAATGTTAGCAGCAGCTACTACCACTACTACTTCTGTTGCTGCTACTTCTACTAGTAAAGCTGGAAACTAAACGAGTTCTGAGCAAACATGTGTGGTGTACCCAGGATCTGTCACTCTCCACTTTACTGCTAACAGAATTCTGATTTTTGCCCAGGAATCTACCTCTCAGGAAAGATGACCTTAACTTCATTTTAGGGGCAAATCTGGATTAGTTTAAACCAATTATGGTAATCCCATTCTTTTTTGCCCATGACTGGTTTAAAATGGATATGTACCCTCCAGGCCAATAAAACATGAATGAAGTCCGCCAAGGGAACAAGGGAGGAGCTTTGGGAAAAGCTTTCCTTATAGGAAGGAGAGAGACACAGTAGCAGTTTATCTGGTCTCTTCCTCTGAATATTGTCAGGGCAAAAGTACTTTAGGTGCTCTGATGCTCCACTTACATTTTTGAGTTCTCCTTTCTCAAAGAATTTGACCTTCAGGAATTTCCCTCACTATCTTGTCAGTTATTTGCAGATTTTAAAGTGATGTTTTAAAACATTCTTATTCAATAATTCTTAAAAAGAGTTCTGTCAGAGTAACTTACTCTATCATTACCAAAAATGGAAATATTCTACATTTGTTTCCAAAATGATCTAAGATTGATTTGTTTTGAGAATTTTATATATAATATTTAAAGTCTTCTTTATAACAATTATTTTTCTACTGCATAGCTAGACTATGTAGCTCGGTGCTGTCCAATATGGTTGCCATGAGCAACATGTTGCTATTTGAATTTAAATTAATTAAACTTAAAAGTTCTGTTTTTCGTTTACACTCACATTTTTAAAAAAAATTTTTTTTTGGGCGCCTGGGTGGCTCAGATGGTTAAGCGTCTGCCTTCGGCTCAGGTCATGATCCCAGGGTCCTGGGATCAAGTCCCGCATCGGGCTCCCTGCTCCGCGGGAAGCCTGCTTCTCCCTCTGCCTCTCTCTCTCTCTCTCTGTCTCTCATGAATAAATAAATAAATAAAATCTTTAAAAAAAATTTTTTTTTCTTTTTTTAAGTAGGCCCCATGCTCAGCATGGAGCGCAACATGGAGTTTGAACTCATGACCCTGAGATCGAGACCTGAGGTGAGATCAAGAGTCAAACACTTAACTGACTGAGCCACCCAGGTGCCCCAACACTAGCCACAAATTTCAAGTGCTCAATAGCTAATTTGGCTAGTGGCTACCAGACTGGACAATGCACATATAGAACATTTCTATCAATGAAGAAAGTTCTCTTGGACAGTGCAAGTAGATTATGTGTTCTGAAAGTTTAAATTTTCATATATTAGATTATACTTTAAAGGTCCCTGGACCTTATAAACTTATGCTCAGACAGTTTTATGAACTTATCATGAAAATAAATTTCAGTGTGGTAACTGAATTGTCTCATATTCTGAACTAGTAAAGTCTAGATTTGTGAAAAAAATTTGTAGTTCCATGATATAGTTATGTTAATTGTATCATTTGCTGAAAGCTAAAACAGAAGACAAAGCTGGTAACAGGAATGCCAATCCACCAATAGTAAGTTCTACAATTTGGCTTCATCATTCCTACTGACCTCATCATGGTCATTTTCTCTATTTATTAAAGGATCTGGTACCTGGTTCACAGTCTCACTCTATACTCCAGGTTTTAACATCATCCTGAGTGACCTCAACATCTGCATAGAAGACTCCCCAAATTCCCTGGCCTTGAAGACCCCTGAACTCCTTCATCTCGCCCAAGGCTAGGCATGTATTCCCTTGGCCACACTGCAGATTTGTCATCATTGAGAACAGTCTCACTTGTCATATATGAAATTCAAGTACATTCCATTCTCTGATCCCCATACCTTCTATCTCCCTCACCCTGTTTTTCCTACTACTACATTGGTTCTTCAATTTTTATGGATTTTTGAAGTTAGGTCCTTAATTTTCTCCTCTTAGCCCTCTTTAGACTGTCATTCCCAGTGCAGAATGCATGACTCAGCACTTCAGTCATTCCCACCAGTACCCTTAAATTCTTTCTGATCTGTTTATTGTTCTGTTGTAGTCTCACCTTCTCTGATCCACTCTCACATAAAGTATAAATCTGAGGCTAAGTTTTTGAATGGTGTCTTACTACCTCCAAGTAAGTATCATGCTGTTTAACCTACAAGTCTTGCACTTAATTTTCCTTCTACCTAGAATGCTCTCATTGTCACGTTCTTCTTTTCTGGTCAGCTCCTATTTGGCCTTCATATCTTTACCTTCCTATGGGAAGAAATCCCTAAATCCTTAATTAGGCTATATGCCCATTCTATGTGCTTTTATAGCATCCCATACTTATTCTAAGATATCATACATTTATCACGCTGAATGGTGATTTTCTGCACTTAACTGATTTCCCAGGAAATTATAAGATCCTTGAGAGCAGAGATTGTCTTTCTCACTCTAGAACAGTCTGATATACAATAGGCACTCAATGGTTTGTTGAGTGAATGAATAAATAATGCTGGTAGGTTGAAACAATCATTGTAATTGAAGCTACATGCTATTACTTCAGGATGCAAATGTAACATAGAAGTAATATGATCAATAAGCTAGAGAGTATATTAGAAGTATGTATGGGGGGAAATAGAGCAGGGTAAGGAAGATTAGGAGTCTCAGGGTTGTAGGAAGTAGGGAAGATTGCAATTTTAAATATGATATTCAGGCTAGGGCTCACTCAGAAGGTGACAGTTGAATAAAGGTGAGGTAAAAGAGTAAGCCATGTAGATATTTTGGGAGAAGAGTATATAAGGTAAAGGAAATGGGCAATGCAAAAGCCCTGAGGTGGGAGCGTGCCTGGTATGTACAAGGAAGGAGGCCCATGTGGCTGGAGCAGGGTTACTGAGGAGGAAATAGTTAAGAGATTAGTTCAGAAAAGTAATAGAGGGCTAGATTGTATAGTCTTTGCAGGCCTTTCTAAGGGCCCTGGATTAAAGTAAAATGGAGTCATTGAAGGGTTTTGAGTAAAGGATATAATTTGACTCACTCTGACCCCTGTATTGAGAACTGTAGGGAGCAAGAGTAGTAATGGGAAATCCACTGAAAAAGCTCTTCAGACTAAGTCAGTGAAGAACAGAGGAGTAGCAGTGGAGGCAGTGAGAAGTAGTCAGATCTAGGATATATCTTGAAGGGAAAGCCAATGGGATTTCCTGAGGGATTGGATATGAGCTGTGAGAGAATGGAATCAAGAATGACTCAAGGGTTTTTGGCTTGAGGTAGAGGGCGTTGACATATGAGATGGGAAAAACTGGGAGGTACAGGTAAATGGAAATGTTTTAGAGATAACATTTGGACATGTTAAATATCAGATGTCTATTAAAAGTCTAATCAATGGTAATATACGAGTCTGGAATCCATGAAAGAAATCTGGGCTAAAAATATAAATTTGGGCGTCAAAGGACATATGAATGCTATTGAAAGCAATGAAACTGGATGAGATCACCAAGGAAATAAATACTGGTAGTGCACAAAAGAAGGGCAAGGACTAGGTCCTGGACACTCTAAGAAGTAAGAGAAAAAGAGTAGGAACCAGCAAAGGAGAATGAGAAAAAACAAGTAGCAGTAAAAAAGGACAACCAAAAAGTTGTATGTTATGGAAGCCTACTGACTATCAAGTAAGATGAGCACACTCAGAATTGACTATTGGATTTAGCAACATGGAAGTCATCTAGCCTTTGACTTGACAAGAGCATTTTTAGTAGAATGATGGCAGCAAAAATCTGACAGGAACAGTTTTGGAAAAAATCAGAAGAGGAACTGGATATGGAAGTATATAACTCTTTTGAGGAATTTCGTTTCAAAGGGAATAAAAAAATGTGAAAAGAACTGGCACGTGTTTTGTTTTTGTTTTTTTAAGATAGGAGAAATAACAATGTTTGTATGTTTATGGAAAAATCCAGAAGAGAAGATATTAGGAAAATATCTATATATTTATGAAATAACAAAGAATTAAGATAAGAATAGAGTTGGAGAGCATGACGGTGAGGAATACTGTGTAACAGTCTGATGACATGAAATTAAAAGGTGTGGTTTTTAGGTAGGAGGGAGGAAGAATGATCTGAAAGAGGTAATGAGATATTGAAAAAAAAAAGTCAATTCACTTCCACTCATTCAAGAGCTAAGGGAGAAAACACCTTTAGAAGCCTAAAGTTTATTTTAAGTATCATTAGAGGACAGCCAGTTTCCATTAAAACAACAAAGTGAAGAGAAGGAAAATTCAGAGACATTAAGATATAAGGGCTTTTGCTGCTAATGGATCATGAATTCCTAAGGGCCCAGAAGAAATGTTTCAGTAGCTGGGCAGAGATACAAAACAGAAGATGTGATATGCAGAACTTTATGGGATTGGATGGCAAGAGATGAGGAATGACCTGGGAATCTGGGGCTTCTTACAGTGGCAAGCATAAAATAATCTTATTTTATGGGCATAATAAGATTAATCCTGGTGGAAAGATAGTGGTGGCAAAGGTGTGAGTGTTGGGGGACCAAGTCATTTTGGGGGACCTACGACTCTCTCTTGGTACCTACTGGGGGGAGACTGTATTTGCTCCTAGTGCTGGAGCTTCCCCTTGTCCCCTGTTGATGGAATTTCTGGACGTGAGGCCCGTTCCATTCACTATTAACAATTTAAAAAATTCATATGACCTTCATACACATGGATTTATGACCAAATATCTTACAGTTTTAAAAATTTCCCTGCTCTAGGGGAAATGTAAGCTAATTTTTCATAGCAAAGTTTGGTTTTACTTACATCTGTGTTACAGGAGCGATATCGTTTCCTTTCCCCAAGGCAATATTTTCCACCTCCTGAAGGTCTGAAAACATATTTTGTTTAACATGTGAATATATCTGTCTACATAAAGAGTATATATATTGCTTGATGAAAACATATTAGCATTTATTTTAAGAAAATACAAAATTTGACATTTTACTAGTTATTAAAATAACAATCATGCTGGTGATTGTTAGCAATAATGATTATGGTTGCTGAACATAAAAACTAAGGCAGTTTGCTATGAATAACTTTACAAGACTCTAAGCTGTCATGATTTACATTCTTAAGAAAATGCAATTAAATAAATTTATTTTCTAATTATCATAGTAAGCAGGTACTCAGTTCAACACAATGAGTTTAAAAATCACTTACTTATAATGAAAAACCACTTGAACCGTATTCAACAAAACACATAATCTGATACTATCTGTTCACCAAGTAGGAAATGGTAAATTTACTATTTTTTCCGGACTGGAAATGACAGAATACTAAGCAACTCTCTGGAAATAGCTTCAGTTCAAAGTAAATAATGCAGAAATGGATTTCTATCTCATTATATGAAGTTTGAAAAATTACATTTAAAAATCAGATGGCTTTGCATTATATACTGTATATTACACTCCAATTAATGAAAAAGTAAGATGTTCAATATTTGACTTACATAAATTAATTTTTTAAATATTTAACATTAAGGAAAGTCATATGCTATTATTTGGGCATGCTATTTCGAATAGAAAAAACTAACTTCTTTTAAAAGAAGTCCAAGTCATTCTCTTAAGGATCTGGGTATATTACTTATTATCACAGATGTTTATGGTTTTGGTTACTAATTTATAGTAGCCTGCAGTTGAGCTTAGGTAATTATTCTGTACTTGTTTGAAAAAGATCAAGTATAATTATAATTTTGGCTCACTGGTAGTCAATGGAAAAATTAAAGTTACATTTTGAATATATTTTGAATGCCAGTGGATACTGATTCTAAAAAGGAAAAGGAATGGCCCAATTTAAATCAGCTTGGGAGAAATGGTTTGGTCAGATAAAAACAAGGGCGTGGGGATGATGGTAGCATGACTAGTTTATGAGTGGGTGACAGTGAGCTAGCTCTGTTATAGCAGAAAGATAATAATGGAAAGAAAGCTGGAGAATGGAAACACAGAATGAGTGTAAAGGGAAATAATTTCAAACTAAAAAGAGTAAAAGAGAAGAAAAGAGATATTTAGAGAGGGGAACCAAAGAGAGGGATCCTGAGTTAAAAAGAGAAAAATAAAAAATGAAAGCTGACTATCTTTTCCCCAGGAAGGGATAAAAAGCAGAAGGGATACTATAACGCCATGCTGCACCAAACACTAGTTGGGAAAGGAGGCCTGCAACCTGAGCTAGAGACAAAAAGGGGAGCACTTGACATGCAGCAGCTAAGGAGCAGTTTAGTCTCCGGGGGGACAGGAAAGTCTAACTGGGGGACTGGTCCACCTGTAATGGGCACTGGTGGGAGAGAGAAGCAATACAGCTACCAAAGAATACTGATGTGGCTGGCCTTTCACCAGGGGGACTCTGACCGGAGAAAAAGAGTGGTGGGAGAGGAACAGTCTGACCTGCATAAAATAGTCACGGGGAGAAAAGTGGTGGCAGCTCCGGAAGATGATTAATAGGGGCATGTGAATGGAAACTATTTTAACACATGGGCAGTATTCTTTTCATTGTGATTTGTGATGCGAATCAAGGCATTTCAACCCTTGAAGTGCTCTCATTGGTCCTTTTAATACTAATGTAGCAGTAATAATTTTATGTGACATGTGAAAAGACTTACGTTTTCTGGGAATAATGGTAATGTAGCTAAGAGCAGACCTGGATTCATCCATAATTCAGTAGTTTTTGGAGGGGGAAATCTATCTGATTATTACTAGATTAAAGGTCTAGCTATACCTGGGATAGATAAACAATGCTATTCTTTTTTCTTTTTCTTTTATTTTTAGTTGCACAGTAAGGGGGAAGGAAGAAAAAGAAAGTCTCTCTAACAAGGCTCTTCCACTCTCCTGTGCCTATTGCTTGTTCAGAAGACAAACACTTGGCTCACTAGTGAAACGTTTTTACAGATAACATGTGAAACCACAGCTTTGAATCATTTCCAACTGTGTCTTTTTGTTGGCTCCGGCTTACTTTAGCTACTTACGCTGGACTGTCACAGTGTCTTAGGGATGAGGAGACGCCTCCCCCGCAGGTCCTGCTGCACTCTCCCCATAGTGACCAGGGACCCCAGCCCCCATCTATGCTCTGGGGCCAAGTGCCAAAAGGAACACAATCTCCCTGATAACACCACTGCAAGATTTCACAGAAAACACAGAATTAGCTTTTAGGCAGATAGAGCTATCAGGTTAGAAATACATAAGGTCCGGCAATGACCAATTATAGGCATTAGCATTCTCCAATAGATAACAGACTGAGAGTTCTTTAACTGTGTTTAGACAATGGCGAAGGTGCATGTGATTTGCAAATTATCTTTGGCTAGGCAATGATTTATAAATCTCTAACCTGTACCAGGAGTCTAGAAAACTTGACTTTACTTCCTTTTTTTATTTCTCTTCCTCCAGAATCCTAGTATTTCTCATTAAAGAGAACTCAAGTCTTTTTTAGATATTTTAGCATTAGAATTTTTTTTCTTTATATTCCACTATTATTAGGCTCATGGAATGATAACGCAATATGGAAAGTTCCCCAGTAAGGAATTTTTATGATGGTAATTGCTTTTACTTTAAAAAAAAAAAAAAAAAAAGGCTGGTTGAGGCTACAATAGTAAAAGAATGTGTTGTGGCATTTCATCTACACGAGTCCTGCAGACATAATAAAAGTAATGCCAAGATACTAGGGACAGGGTACAAAAAACTCTTACATACACTGACTAGCCATGTGTATAGTCCCTGCATGAACATGTGTACTGGAATTCTTTCAGCTTTACTCTGCAGTAAACCAACCACACATACTGCATGTAACTAGAGAGCCAGGAATAATTTATCGAGACACAGACATCACATAATCAGCTCATAACTCTAACATGATAAATCTTATTTGCAGAATATGGTAAAAAATGAAAGCCTTTTTTTTTTTAAACCAAGGATTTCTAGGTTTTTACTGGTGCACTTTTCTGAATTACCAAATTTTGACAAACCATACTGATGCTGTGAAAGTCATTTGTTTATATGAATAACAATAAGAAACATTCTTAGAGTTGAATAACTGGCAGCAACGTCATTGTTAAACAAAAATTCAACTTTATATTAAAATGCAAAGGTATTCTGATATATGATACTTAGAAAGTAATGAGTCTATTACACTATTTCCACATAGCGGGAATTCTTTCACTTTTCATCATTTTCATGGCTACCACATCAGACAAAATAGGCAAATGGAATAGCTTCTTACCTGGTCTCTATGCCTCTGCTTTTTTCTACCCTTAATCAGCCCATTCTCTAGTAAGCTTCAGAGAGCTCTTTTAAAAAACATATTATCACGTCCTATCACTTTTTGCTTAAATGATTGCACTACTTTCCTACTTCCCTTAACTCTGGTCAGCGGTGGCCTTTGTGATCTGACCCCTAACTCCTTCTCCAGTCTTATTCTCCCTTGCAGATTGGTCCAGAACACTGGACTTCTTTCTTTTCCTCAGTACACTAAGTTTGTTCCCTCTTTTGGGCATTTGCATTTGCTGGTCCTTCTGGGAATATTATTCTCCCAATTACTTATGTTGCTGTCTTCTCATCATTTGGTCTCAATCAAGTGTCCTTTCATCAGAAAGGTCTTTCCTTGACTACCCTTATTCTGAAGAGGGGTATCTCCCCACTCCTTCCCACCCTCCCACCTCCAACTCCAGGGTATAATAGAGATTACATCCTCCTGTTTTAGTTCCCTCTTAGCACTTACCACTATTTTAAATTACCCTGTTCATTTTTTAAATTATTTCTTTAGTATTTATCTCTTCTCATTAGTATGTAAAACCAGGAGATGTACATATGGCTATTTATTTATTTTAAAAATTATGAACATAGCTCCCTACTCATTTTAGGTAATTCATCTATGCTTTGAAGGGGCAAATTCAGCAACAAATCTAAGCCCACAAATAATCAAGTTATTCCAGCAAAATATATCCTGAGAGGCAGGATAGTATGATGGTTGAGAACTGAGACCTGAATAAGAACTGAGATACTGAATAAGTAACTTGACCTATCTGCATCTGAGCTTTTTCATAAATAAAAAGGTAAATAATAATAGAGCCTATAGCATGTGAGATTAAATAAAGATAATGTGAAGAACATGGTAGAAAGTATCTGATACATAGAAAGAGTTCTGTAAATATTAGTAACCATTGGGCAAATTCTTTAATTTCTCTGGATCTCCATTTTCTTATCTGTAAAATGGGAATAATAACACCATCCCTCTAGTAGGGCACATAAAGTGCTTATAACAGTGGTTGTCTCATATTAGGTCTTCAAGGAAATTAGCTAATACCATTGTTAAAATGGAATGCTCACATGTAGAAATGAGGCTTATGCAACTGCAGAGATCTAAATGTGGTGTGGACAGCACTCATAACCTTCCAAAGTCCTAGAGAAAGCTAAGTTCCTGCCAGCTCTGGATGATGATGATAATACGAATTCTTGGAAGCCACACAAATTTTTCAGAATGCAAAAAGAAATCATTAAGCACCCTTAGGAAGATTTGTTTCTCTCCACAGTGAATGGTGCACGTTTATCTCTTCCTCTAGTTGATGGCTCTCAGCATTTTTAAATTTGTTGACAGAATTTTTAATACCCTTTATTATAAAAAATTATTTAAACTAAAAAGACAAAACCAAAAACTGTTGACCCATTTCTCCCACCGCTGGCAACCACCAAATTGTCCTCTGTATCTATGAGCCTGTTTTTTTTTAAATACATATATATTTAATACATAGCATTATATAGCAATGACTATGTTATTTAAATTTAATTAAAATGTAAAATTCAGTTCCTCAGACCCACTAGCCACATTTCTAGGGCTCCATAGCCACATGTGCTAGTAACTACTATGGTGGACAGAGCAGATCTAGAACATTTCCATCATCACAGAATGTTCTATTAGAAATGCTGAATGTCTAGAACAGTGTCTAGCATGTAGTAGATATACTACAAAAATTTATTGAATGAATGAATACATTACTTAAATTCTAGAATTCTGTGTTCTATTCTGGTTACTACATGTAAGGAAGGAACTAGAGATACTGGAGGGTAAACAAAAAGTCAAATTCATCTTTGTTTCCATAGTAGTTGCACTCAGTTAATTTTCAGTAGTTTTAACAACATGAAGGAATTTTTTCAGAGAAGTACTGGGTAATTAATTATCATTTGTCCTTCAAAAATTAGGCAAGAGAAAGTCAAAATTTGATTGGCTATAAGGCAGAGCATTCCGACCCCAAGTCTAATAAATGTTGAAGTAGGACATTATGAAAGATAATTAGTTTTATGAAAATTACCATGAAGAAAAAAAATCATCTGTCCAAAATGGCGAACCAGAGGTAGCTGGCTGAACTGATAATACAGTATCAACCCTGGGAGCAGGGCTACTAATAACAACGTACACGTGAGAGGGAGAGAATATTTCAGCTGCCAGGTTACAGCTTACTTAATTGATTTTGAAAACCAACCATTTGTATAATGATATCCCAATTGTGTTAGGCCTCCACCTATACAAAAGTCACAATCTGGGCCAACTAATATTTATGCCTGTGCCTATTTTCCTTTGGGAATAACTGAGCAATGTATTACTGACCAGCAATTCCTGGTTTTATTCCCTGTGGTTTCAATTAATGGCAACTAACACTTTAAAAAATTCCAAATTTTAAAATTTACCTGTTTTTCAAGTTAGAAATTTAGCATTATTGATGCCAAATAACATTAAAATTTAATTTTACATTTATTTTATATAATCACAGAGTTGCATCTAAAGCTCAGAGGGACTTTGGAATTCACGTGGTCTAAACGCTTCATTTTTTCACAGGAGGAAACCAGAACCTTAAGGAGGCTGACTTGCTCAAAGTCACTTTGGACAGAAAAAGGAATATTTGTCCAAAATACACAGAAATCAGTGGGGAAAAAAAACAACGTAGGTGTAGGGTTATATATTAGAAGTATATTAAAGTATACTGTACTATCTTTACTTCATAAAATACAAAATAACACTAGAGATAAAAACTCTTAGTTGCAAGTGTACAGCTACATGTTATTTCAGACCTCTGAGTATTCTTATAATTTATAGATAAAAACTTTATTTTTTGCATTTTTCAGGGGACAGAGAAATGATGAAGGCCATAAGAATACTGAAAGATGTAGGTTCCAAAGTATTTTATAATATTGTTATGTATGTTTCCTAGATGCCCACAAAATGCAGGACAGCGAGAGAAGTCACATAAATTCTCGTTTTCTTTTTAAAACTTACTCTTAAGGTAAAGGACAAACACAATATTCAGTTTGTAGGATGCTCCTCAGTTCTCATCATCAATTAACATCTACACAGCAGTATTTCATAAGTGACTTACTAGAACCTTTCATTGCATAAATTTATGCTATTGAATTTTATCTGTTCCATGGAGTTATAACGTAATAGACAATTGTATCAGAAAGTTAAAAACAAATATTAATGGCTAAAAAATGAAAAATTCTCAAAAAGTAATGTATCAGTCATCTAGCAGTTGACAAAAGACTAGAGTTTAGCTTAATAACCAGTTAACAACTTATTTAATTAGTTAACAAGTTAATTCAGTCTGTGTGTAGTCTGTGTTACAAAACCTGAGCTCTTATTCTAGCAATATCCCTGGTCCAAAGCAAGTAATTTGTTTCTTCAGATTCCCTACCTAAAAGATAGGGACTAACTTTAGTTTTCAAATCCAATGTGGTTTGGATTAGACAGCTTCAGAAATTAGTTCTATGCAGACATGCCTTCAAAGAAATTATAAATCTACCAAAGGACTTGGTTGATATTGATCTCTGGCAAAACGGTCTCAAAGTTTTGTTTCGTTTTGCCCTGCCTTATACTTACAGTAAAGGATCTCTTTGGAAATCTTGCTATTTCTGTGCTCTAGCGCTGGTAAGTATCTTAACATAGTACACTGATTTTAGAGAAGAAACTTATTTAACTTAATAGTAAATGCTTTAAGAAACCTCTAGGGAACTTCATGTGGAACAAGTTGAGCTAATTTTCTAGATTATTACATTAATCAGTATACACCAAGACTTTAATATAAGTCATTAGTAATATAATTAGATTATACCAAATAAAGCAAGTATAAA